TGTGTGTGTGTGTGTGTGTATATGGTCCAGGTATACCTTACCTTGATGAATACCTGTTTTTTTTACCGTATGGGAAAACTCTATTTTATAAAAATCTGTGACTGCAATGAAAAAACAAGAAATGCAAAAAGTCTTGTATTTTGTTTGGTTTCTTATGATTATGGTTAGGGCAGGGTAGGGGTTAAGGTTGTCACAGTTAGCATTAGCATTTTTCCCATAGAAATGAATAAGTGGTCCCAAAAAAGATATGGTTACACGACTGTGTGTGTGTGTGCATGTATATATGTATATATTTGCAAATTGCAGCATGGTTCTTCTCTGCTTCTCATTGATGAAGGGCTTCTTCATTGCTTTATGGGACTTTAGTCCTGCTTCTAGAAGCCTTATGTGAACTGTCCTAGCAGTGCACTTCACACCTAAACTTAACGTTTCCCATTCCTTTTGAAGGTCACTTGGTTTCATCCTACAACTCATGAGAAATTGTTGGATAAGTTAATGGCCATCTCTGGCATTGGAAAGTCGCTTCCACCCTTTACCTGGCTGGTTCCCAGTGTCTCTTTCTTCACATTGTTCTTGAGTACTGCTGTCTTAGAAACATTGAGCCTGGAAGCAGCCTACATCTCAGCATAGCCTTCTGTCAGCAAAATCAGGATTAAACCAGGATTTAAAAAAAATGCAGATTTTAATAAAATATGGAGTGGTCTCTTAATCTTTTCCAGGGCAGTATGTTTTGTTTTATATGGAAGAATGGTTTCCTCTGTCATTCCATGTTGTTATATAATAATGCCTTATGTAGTAAGATATAATGTACCCCCACACAAACAGCGGCAGTCTACCTCCACATGTCACTTAAATGGTTCCTGGACCACGACAGCACCTGCTGAAGTTCTTCAGGAGCTGATTTTAAAACGGCAGCATTTGTCATTGCAGGATCCTGTACCGCAGCATCAGCAATAGCATCTGCCCGACTGACCTGATGAAAGCAGCCCAGCTGGATAGGCTGAACCCTGAGGAGCGGAAGAGGAGCATTCAGCTCTGGAGAGCCAATCAGCTGGCAGCTCTGGAGAGCCAGTCAGGTGGAGGCGGGCCCCTTCTTATTAACCCGGAGGATGAGGCCATCAAACAGAGTGGCAGCACTACAGACTCTGTTGTCTCCTGATCTCAGCAGAGACCCAGGTCTTGAACCAAACACTACCTTTGCTGATCTGAGAGGCACAGCAAATGACAGTATTCTGATGGCCTTTTCTTGAGTGCTAAAGACTGACCTAACCCCAGGTACTTAAGGGACTGGCTGACCCTGCTTTCTCAAATGCATGACGCTTTGGGTAAAAGCTCCTGGTCAATAAATGCAAATGTGTTATGCTACATGAGACGTTTGTTTCCTGTAGCCTGAAACTGGCAAGACCACACAACCTTCATTTATGGCTTTCAAGAGTCGATATATTTGAAAGGCAGTCTTTACTGGGAAACTCAAAATGCTTGTCTTGAATAACTATATGACTGTGTCATGCAGCATTTCTGAATACACTGAGTGATTGACTTGGTTTCTGTGTATTCGTAAACACCAACTTTTGCCAGAAGTCTTTCAATTACATTGTCTAGTGCAGGTTCACTATAATTGTCAGCATAGCTGACAGATATTTGTGTAGTGATGTGTGCCTGAAATGATATAAAATGTTACAATTTTGTCTCCTACACTGCTTGTGAGGAAGCACTTCAGACAAGACACAATGCATTATTTAGAGATTTTGGTGATAGATTTCAGAGAAAAATTATCTTAGGCTGAATCGAATCTATTGCTGCATTTTTGTTCTGCTGTTGTAACTGGCTCAGCTGGTTTTCATAAGTTGGACAGTACATTAATCAGTACAGGACTTTACCTTTTTCTGGGAAGTTGCTCAGTGTGTGCTTGTTGCATTCTACAGTGATATGTCATTAGATTTACTGATGGCATTGTTACTTGATGAACTAGTCTGTCCTGTTTTGCACAAATTCTATTAATGACATCATCATGATACCTGGTGATTTGTTTACAAGCCATCTGACAGTTGTCTAATATATTAGCAGCCTCAATACATGTACTTCTAATATCAGAATGAGTTCTTTTAGTGTGCTCTCTTCCTGCATAGGTGATGGATGTGGCCTTATGGTCAGCTCATGGGAGTTTTACTTACACGAAAATGTTCTGAGTGCAGAAGGAATAATGATTGGTTCAGAGAGATAACCAAACAGACTGTAGAGGAGGTGAGCCCAAGCAAGTAGAGTAGGTAAGACCAACCAATCAGATGTTTTGGTCCTGCTTCCTCTAGTTGCTTGGACCCACCTCCTCTACAATTTGATTGGTTATCTCTCTGAACCAATTATTGTTCCTTCTGCCCTTAGAACATTTTTGTGTAAGTAAAACTCCCATGAGCTTGCGTTCATGCAATGCTTTCATAAACATTTTTGTATTGTGCAGATAAAGTGTGGAGGCAGATTGATCTCACTGTAATAAATGAGCATTTTCTTATTGTTTTTGTAGCTTGATTTTGAAACAAGAATTTGATACAATGATGAATACATATGTAAGGTATGCATTGCACTTCTATACCACTCTGTAAACATTGCTGCAGTAAATCTTTTGTACCAATCATTGTAGATTGTGCAGGTTAACTCTCACTGCACTGTACCTCTTAGGGGTATCAGTGTGTATTCCTATAAACCCAATCTACACTATAAAATTTTGCAAATAAATCTTTAATATAACATTGGTGCTTTTTTGGTCACATATATCTTTATTAAACAGGCTTTCCTTCAGAACACTCATTAAGCACATCCCTGTTGTAATACTGAAGATTGAGGGGACACTCACGGTGGAGAAAAATTAAAAAGAGGAAAAACTGGTGGTCATCAGATGAAAAGTGGTGAAGGATTCAGCTCTGGGGAGCCAATCAGGTGGCAGCAAACCTTTTATAGGGACGTGGAGGATGAGGCCCGGGGTGTTTCTCGATATGCTTACTTGATCATACTTGTGCTTTTGTGTACGCATTTTACGTCATCTTCCATTACCGAAGACCAGTTCCAATATTAAGAATACAAGTACATAGGATGGTAAAAAGCTCCAAATGTTGGTCACGCTCTGCTCCAAATATCAAGGATACATCAGTTGCACCCTCGCGAAACAAGACTGATTCGATGATTGTGCCCCAAGCTCATTCTTAGGTGGCAAGTTAGAAAGATACGTTTTGCCAAGGCAAGTACTATCTTTGCATTCTTGGTATTGAGAAACACCCCTTCAGACAGAGTGGGAGCCCCACAGACTCTGTTGTCTCCTGATCTCAGCAGAGACCCAGTTCTTGACCCAAACACTACCTTTGCTGATCTGAGAGACATAGTCAGTGAGAGGGTTTTGATGGCCCTTTATCCAGTGCTAAATCATATATATATATATATATATATATATACACACACACACACACACACACACACACACACACACACAATATATACCCTCTATCCAGTGCTATCAGGCAGACTGATGTAACCTGAGGTGCTTCAGGGCTGACAGTTGACTTCCTCAATTGCATGACACTTTGGATTAAAGAGTCTGCTAAATTAGGATGACTGTACTCCCTCTTTTTCCTGGACTTGTCCTCTTTTTTGGGACCTAAATATGGCTGAAATGATCATTTTTTTCATGTTGACATTTGCTTTCTACAGTCAAAATACTTTCTGTGTGTATTAGCATTGCTTTGACGCCTCTCTTTGCGTCCTGCCCTTGGGTTTTGCAAAGCAAAATATGGTCAGCCCTAGCTAAATAAATGTAAATGTGTTACACTACATGAGCCGTTTGTTTCCTATAAATTGAAACTGGCAAAAAATACACTACCTTAAGTTACGGGTTTTAGATATCGGTATTGAGAATAGACAAGTATCGCAAATTTGGAGGAAGATTCAAATCCGTCACTTTTGTTTTCCGGTTGCATTTCGCTGTGACATATTGCCTTCGGTCGGTCCTCCCACCGCTGATTCCAGAACGAGGAAAAAAGTAAAAAAAAAAAAAAAGGAAATGGTCATCAGATGGAAAGTGGCGAAAGGGGGCGCAAGTTATCTCTAGGTTTTTTATTATTTCTTTCCCGAAACAAGTTTGCATTGTGCTTCGGAATGGAGAAGCAGGTACGGCTCTGTCCATGATACTGTACCACCGAGAGCAGCAGCCTAAAAACTGGCTTAGTGTCTCGGCTCGTTCGGTGGGAAACCAAAGGGCTCCGGCTAAACTCAATACAGTATTTATACGGATTATTATAAGTACCAGTTTCGAGAAAAAAAACTCAAAATACTAACTTTTTCCCGTCTGTCTTTATGAAGTCAGACGTTTTGTACTAGATTAACAGCCCGCTCCTGATTTCTACGTTTTTTGTTGTTTGTTTTGTGTTTTTGTGGCAGGTTCATTAGCATTAAGGTTATTAAGGGTAGCCTGTATAGGTATTCATTAATCAATAGCCGTCAGATTGAATTCGTGATTGCAGCGGACCCAAGCTTTCTGTAGCTGTACTACAGGAGACGTGGGCGTGAACCATCGCTAACTTCTCCTTTGCTTTGCAAAGTGAAACAAATGAAACGTTAACCGCAGCTGAAAGCAACACCTGGACCGGCATTTATCCTAAATATACATACCGTGGTTGGGAGACATCGGGAAAGAGAAATACCGTAAAAATACAATGAATGAAGGTCAGTGTCGGCGCTCCGATTCGGAGAAGGACATCGAGGATGAGCTGCGGACTGTATGGTAAGAGCTTTTATCCATCATATTTAGCAAAATCATACAGCATAACTCGATGTGCTTGTTCAGTCTATCGAAACGCCAAATGATTTCATAATATTCATATATACAATTTTTACTGAAGGAACTGTAGTTAGAATTTGATTATTTTAATTAAAGGGAATAAATGTACTTTTTTAGAGATATATGATCATCAAATGTTGCTCGTATAGGTAAGATAGGCCTACAGTTAGAGAATAAGAATAATACAAAGTTTTCTGTTTTATATGTATAGATGAAAGTTGTTTATTCTGGCGGAAATAGCTCCGTGTTTCGCTCGTCCTCTTTTAATAACCCGCATGTGTGCCTCAGGATTTTACTTTAAAATCCATGTAATTGTAAATGTGGAAAATGTAATTTCGCTAAACTTTATTGATGCTTTACTTGTCAAACTGGGCAGCATAAGCTGCCGTGATGACGGTCTTGCATTACAGATTTAAAATAGCGAAGAAAAATGAAACTGTCGGTTCCTCAGATTGTTTGAAATGTAACAGCTTTATTATTTTCGGCGACCATATCAATGCTATCAGTGTCATTTGAATGGGACACTGAGAACGCCGGAAAGTGGCTTTATGCATTGCTTAAAGAAGGAAATGAACAACATCCATCAGCTACCAATTTTAGGATCAGGACGACACAGGGCACAACCCTCAGCTGCCCTCTGAATTAGTTAGGCCTACTTGATTTTAGTTACTTTAGTTACTTAATTAACTTAACGAGGTGCCGATTAGTCAAACCAGCTGTGTTGAGGGTGGAGTTAACATTTTGACTAACATAATTATCTTTTATGGTAATTTTAAAATTAAAAGTCTATCCATCCATCCATCCATCTTCCAACCGCTTATCTTGGTTCGGGTTGGGGGGTGGAGTATAATTAGCTACCATGTACCATTTACAGATTAATACAAGGTTGCGTATTTTATCACTATTTAAACTGGTAGTAATTTAGCCCTTAGAACCCTACAAATGCGAAATGCGTTGATTTTCGCACCCAGCAATCTCAGGCTCGTAACTCTGGTGCGCAATCAGGCATGTATGTTAAGCATTTTCCACCAAAACACACTCCTGCTAATCCACGAAACATCGATATTATTCACAATAGATGGAAAACAAAACGCATATTCCGCAATGATCCACGGGAATGGGAATGGGAGCAGGGAGACAGCAGAGAGTCATCACAGATCGTGTTTAAGGCCAAAGCTATACGTGGTCACATCCCCGGAGAATTCCACAGTTCAGCTGTGAGGAATGCTCGATAAGATATATAAATCACATTGGCTGGAGGTCTGCTGGTTTGACTGTGAAACGTTGGAGATCTTTGAATATATCTTAGTAGCAACAAAATATTTCTAACACTGGGGTCATAATGATAGCTTTTTTAAATGCACCTTTCGGGTGCGTTTAAAAAAGGACAGCTGAAAGGACACCTCACAGCAAATAAAAATACAATAACACCAATAAAATCACACAAAACAAAGCAATGAGTCGTGTGTCTTTAAGCAGATGGAAAGAGAATATGCTTAAAAATACGAGTTTAAATCAAGCTTTTTTCCCACTGTTAGCTGTTGTTCTCTCTTAGGTACTTCGAAGAAGTGTGTGATTTATTTAATTTTTTAGCAATGGTGATGCAGGTAGTGCTAAATGTGTTTGTGGTGTCATGTATGCTTTTATAGTTTCCCAGCAAAGTGCTGAGTCCGAGGGGGGGGGGTTCCACAAAGCAAAATTTCCCAGTTAGCTGGGTTAACCTAAGCTAGAAGTCAAGATTGTCCAATAGGAATACTCCTTACATCAGGGGTCTCCAACTCCGGTGGTGGAGAGCTACTATCCAGTAGGTTTTCTATCCTACCTGGCTACTGATGAGCCACACCTGCTCCTGGTATTTACCTGAGAACTGGTGTGGTTCATCAGAAGCCAGGTAGGATAGAAAACCTACTGGATAGTAGCTCTCCAGGACCGGAGTTGGAGACCTCTGCCTTACATGAACTCCTATATGGCTAGGCATACATTGTACTGGTCATAGGTTGTATCTCTTAACTGTTTTGTTTTTATTTGTGTTTCTGCAATGATTTCGGTCATGGCTGGAGTGAGAAGAACTCAGTATTTCTACTAAAAGCACATGGTCAGCGTGTTTTGACTCAGCCATTATTGACGTTTATGCTGTCATTACATGCAGAATACCAACATGCCCACCATTGCTCCAAATTTGTAATAAACAAAAACAGGCTAAACCACACAGACTAAACAAAATAAAAACAACTTATTTTAACAATAAAAGAGATCAGTGGGTGATTTTATGAACATGTGTGGCTCGATGTGATCATCTCAGCTCTGCCTGCTTCCCGGAAGCAGTTTATACTCATAATTATATGGTAATCTGGGTATGAAGTATAATTCTTTGGAATATTCATCCATCTATCCACCCATTTTCTGGAGCCACTTATCCGATTGGTCATGGGGGGGGACAGGAGACTATCCTGGAGGCTACGGGTGCAAGGCAGGGAACAACCAAGGATGGGGAGCCAACCAATCGCAGGGCACACTCACACCTATGGGCAATTTAGTAACCCCAATTAGCTGCAGCATTTTTTTGGACTGTGGGGGGAAACCGGAGACCCCACAATGACACGGGAAGAACATGCAAACTCCACACACATGGAACCCTTGCGGAGACTTGCACCCAGGTCCCAGGTGCTTACCATGCCCCACCACGCTGCCCCTTGTTGGAATATATGTGAAGATATTTCTGTCAGACATAATGGAGGATTGAGGCTTTTCGTGGATGAACATGGAGAGTTTAATGACGAACACCCATACCCATCATTTATCCCTTTATTTAAACTTTGCCGTAGGATTACCGGCCAATCGCATGGTCCGAAATTATGGGAGAGATCTCATATTGGTTCAAAACAGGACACAGAATTTTATTTTGCATTATGGGACAACTCTGTATTATTCGGGATGAGTGGCAGCCAGGGGTGTAGTTAGAGATGAATGAAAAGGGGGTGAGTCTTTACGGGGGGGGCATGGCAAACATACATATAATTTAAAAAACTATTAATGACTTATGCCAATAAATACACATTTATTTGGGGGAACTAAAGCCCCTCTAAAATAGATCTAACGACTCCCCCTGGTGGCTGGCTTAACTTTCACAACCTATACTACTCCATATGTACTGAAGGAAATCAGCATCTGTATATTGAGCTGAACATGAATAGAATATGGGATCATATCTACTGCCTTCCGTGCTGGCAGCTTAATCCCACCATGATTTAAAAATTAATAGATCTGAACTTCTGTGGTAACAAGAAACTGAGCAAATTGGCTTTGCATGGTGAGTGTTTAACGTTTTAATTTGGGTATGAATGCAGAATGTTATCAGTTCTGGGCAAAGCCTTTCCTCTGCTTCTGCCTCATACTTGTAGTTCAGATTAAATTTACAAGCGATCCTATATCTGTCAGCAGGAAGTCTGCAGCAGCTCTGAATGTGTTGTGTAGGATGGGAGATGAGGGTTCTGTTTCCTGGTCATGCAAGAATAGCTCACATCTGTGTTTGACTTATTACTATAGAGCGACTACTAACATTTTTTTTTACATGCATTTTGTTCAAAGATAGAAAACCTGCTTAAATATTAAAACTACTCAAAGCTACCAGCTTTTTGCAGTTTTGGTTTCAAAGGCATTTAGGTCAATTTGGTTTGGATGCCACAACCGAAATAGAAAATCTAAGTGGGCTGGTTTGTGTTTTTATGAGTTAGCTCAGAAGGTGATAAGCGACTGTTGCGGAGTTCTTAGAAAATTGATGACTGTGCCTATTAACAGATTTTACGTTTGCATTTGCCCACGGTCACTTCCACAGAGTTTTGTGCTTAAAAAAGCTACCCCAAGCTGGCCCAAATATATCACACCGTTTTGAGTCTGATTTCCACAGGCTAGACTACACTATGAACAACTTAGATTTACCTTAACGACCAATGTCGGCAGCAGTAAGCCTGCATGATATGAGGAGAATATGAGAAGTCCACCCACACACAGATGGGGGGGGTTAGACCCTCAACTGTGCACAGCAGTGTAAAGTGTGCAGGCCACTGAGCATTTACTGCCCCCAGTGCTTATTATGTATGATGGAATAATGCTTTCAAATGGAAATACAATATATAATCAACTTGGATATTTCATCATCTTTAATAAAAGATGGATATAGATAATATTTGTGTATATTCTTTCCAGGTATTGATATATTAAATGATTCCATGCCTCACTTATACAAAGAGTTGTATGCTTTGCCATTTCCTGTACCCTGTGTGTTTTTGGGATTAACCCCCATCTAAGCATGGTCGCTCCCTCCCCCCCAGCCACACATCACAGCATCTGGTCCTGTGTGCTGTAACACTCTCTTGGCGCTCTGTGTTTTTTTTTGGGTTAACCTTAGTGCTGTAGTTCTCGAGACCGGTCTTGGTCTAGAAACCGGTCTCAAGACCAATTTTTTTGTGGTCTCGGTCTTGTCTTGGTCTCGGACATAGCGGTCTTGATGGGATGGGGGGAAAAAAGAGAACATTATTACAGTGGTGTTATTTGACATAATAAATCATCATTGATTTTATATAGCATCTGTCTATGGGCATTGTGTTGAGCAAGCATTCATTCTATGCTATATGGTAAGTAATTTTAATGATGTTGATATTGAAGTGTAAAGATTACAGTGGGACAATTCCAGTTTATTAATGGATATAACATAGTCTATAGCATAGTTATAATTCAATTAAATTTGGTATTTTACATTCATTAGAAAGCACGGTCTTGGAGGTACAAGTCAATCTGGAGGCTCATTCTCTTCAATTCAAAGCAAGGGATCATTACATAGCCATATTCATAACTTACCCGAGGCCTCTGTCCCTGGTATAAGAGACTTAATATGAACATCTTTCTGGTACATCCCATCTCTTTCCCTTGATGAGGTCTGATAAAATGGTTATAGGAGAGGATTGCTGAGAATATTATTTTCCATCAGGCCTCGTAACTATGACAAATCTGGGAGATTTTAAATGAGAGACATATGGACAATATAATTGAAAAGATAACATGAATTTGATTTAACGAGTAATGACACTTTACAGCAATGCCTTTTTTCTCTACAGTTGATCTGAGTAATGTGATGTCGATTCTAGCCATAGTCTGTTTTCGGTCTTGGTCTCGACCAGCCTTGGTCTTGGTCTCCCCTTAGTGTGTCTTGGTCTTGGTACCCTCAAGTCTCGGCAATGTCTTGGTCTCGGTTTAGGCGGTCTTGACTACAACACTAGTTGACCTTCCCCTCACCCCCCACCCCACCAGCTGGTACCACTATGACCTGTCCCGCCACGCTGCCGAGGCACTGCTCCTCTCCAACGGCCGTGACGGCAGCTACCTCCTCCGGAACAGTCAGGAGGGACCCGCCTTCTTCGCCCTGTCTGTCAGGTAGGCCCACCCCCAACAATAACAGCAAGAAAGACAAGCCAGTGACTGCAACCTAACACAGAACAGAACTTTAACAACAAAAAGATATAGGTGGTCACTTTTTTTAAGTTGTGTTGATTTTTCAGGTACTTTTGTCTGTAGCAACATGCAGGGCAAGGATCATAGAGCAGAGTCAAGATTTAGGGTGTTACTCAGGATCCAGTGAGCATGCAATTACTTAGACTGGATATCCTAACCAACTGAGCTAGATGCTGTCCTATGATATGCACTTATTTTGCAATTTAATTGTCGTAGCTTGGACTGTAAGGCTGTATATGATGTATTAGAATGACTGTATATAATGTATAAGAAATTATTATACCTACTAAAGATTAATTAGGGTACATCTCAAAAAACCAGCAATATCCAAGGCATATCTGATATACACTTTCTTGCATATTAATACATCACAAAACTGCCAATAAAAAGTCTAAACCTAAGATGTAAGAAACACAAATGTATTAATACAGAAGGTCACAGACACAGATGCCTCCATTTGGACAGAATTGAAAGGAGGAATGTGATTGGAGGGTATCTGTAATCCGATTGTCAGTCAAGGGGCGGACTTACCATAAGGCGAGGGTAGGGGGCCCCCGAAAAATAGAGGCCCCATGAAGAACAATATCCAAAACTTACATTCATGTATCTAAGATGAACGATCATTTAAATCAGGCTTCATTCCTGCTCCTTGCAGAGCTTAGGTGCAGCATAAATTTAACTCAGTCAGACCAAACCGCTATTCCCCTTTATCATATAACATGCAGTGTGCATTTGTAGAATGCGCCATAGTAGATGAAATGAAAATCTTTCACTTTGAATTATTTTAGTGAAAGGTGTGAAAGTGAAAGTAATTCATTTATTCAAGGTCAACATAAAGAATCATATTCTCCCCCTGTTTTCTCATGCTATTACCCAGAGCAGCTTTCATGGTTAATACAGAAAATAATGATGAACAAAGGGCAGCAAAAGAAGGTGGCAGCATCAGAAATGCAGCAGGACTCATTTGTAAGCTTATGATTTCACTGTGCACTGCAGAGAACGACTGCATTCCCAAACAGATAAGGAAACAAAATGCAGCATTTACACCTTAAATCCTGAATGACTCTGTACAAAACCCCTTTACTGGCTAATTTTCATGCTAAATATTTAACCAATTTGGTAGTCATGTGACTTGCAGAAACACTATATTGCCAAAAGTATTGGGACACCCCTCCAAATCATTGAATTCAGGTGTTCCAATCACTTCCATAGCCACAGGTGTATTAAATCAAGCACCTAGGCATGATGGAGTGGTGGCTCTGAGGCCTGGGATCTGTGCGATATACTGGAAGGTTGCTGGTTCAAATCCTGGGAATGCCCAGAGTGATTCTACTCCATTGGGCCCTTGAGCAAAGCCCTTAACCTGCAATTGCTTCATCCTGGGTATGATGTTAATCTACATCCAGCCCTATAAGGAGGTCCTCCAACTCACAGGGTATAACTTGGGGGTCGGTGGCAGGATTGGCACTCCAGCTACTGGAAAAAACCTCATACTGGTGCATTCGGACTAGTGTGGTGCTGAGGTATCACCCGCCACATGGGCTGTATTCAGGTTCTCATCCCTGAGGTGGTTTGTCATGTGGCAACGCACTGTAATCAGTGCATACTCCTTACCTTACCTAGGCATGCAGACTGCTTATTCAAACATTTGTGAAAGAATGGGTCACTCTCAGGAGCTCAGTGAATTCAAGTGTGGTACCGTAATAGGATGCCACCTGTGCAATAAGTCCATTCATGAAATTTCCTTGCTATTAAATATTCCACAGTCAACTGTTAGTGGTATTATAACAAAGTGGAAGCAACTGGGAACAACAGCAACTCAGCCGCGAAATGGTAGGCCAGGTAAAATTACAGAAGTCGCCAACTGTCTGCAGAGTCAATAGCTACAAACCTCCAAACTCAGCCTTCAGATTAGCTCAAGAACGGTGCATAGATAACTTCATGGAATGCGTTTCCATGACTGAGCAGCTGCATCCAAGCCTTACATCACTAAGTGCAATGCAGTGATGTAAAGCACGCCACCACTGGACTCTAGAGTAGTGGAGACATGTTCTCTGGAGTGAGGAATCACACTTCTCTGTCTGGCATCCGACAGACAAAGTCTGGGTTTGGCGGTTGCCAGGGCAACAGTACTTGCCTGACTGCATTGTGCCAAGTGTAAAGTTTGGTGGAGGGGGGACTATGGTGTGGGGTTGTTTTTCAGGGGTTGGGCTTGGTCCTTTATTTCCAGTGAAAGGAACTTTAATGCTGCAGCATTCAAAGCCATTTTGGACAATTTCATGCTCCCAACTTTGTGGGAGCAGTTTGAGGATGGCCCCTTCCTGTTCCAACATGACTGAGCACCAGTGCACAAAGCAAGGTGCATAAGGACATTGATGAGCGAGTCTGGTGTGGAGGAACTTGACTGGCCTGCATAGAGCCCTGACCTCAACCTGATAGAACACCTTTGGGATGAATTAAAGCAGAGACTGAGAGCCAGACCTTCTCATCCAACATCAGTGCCTGACCTGAAAAATACTCTCCTGGACAAATGGTCAAAAATTCCCATAATCACACTCCTAAACCTTGCGGACAGCCTTCCCAGAAGAGTTGAAGCTGTTATAGCTGCAAAGGGTGGGCCAACTCCATATTAAAGTCTATGTATTAAGTATGGGATGTCATTAAGGTTCATGTGTGTAAAGGCAGGTGTCCCTATACTTTTGGCAATATAGTGTATCTGTATAACTGTTACATGGCAAATACCACATGTCAAATGTGACCACTGACAAGATTGACGCAAAAAATGATACAGCCACCATTGGACTGTGATCTGAATTTCTTCAATTACAAAAATATGATGATTTTTTGTTTTTGTCTTTGTTGCTGGTGGGACATCAGATACTTGCGATGGCCAGTGGTGCAATGCATACATTGGTACGATGACTGTTTTTGCTACCTTGCAGAGCAAAGGACTCAGTGAAACACTTCCACGTGATCCGGAAGGGCAACCGGTACTGCTTCGGGTTCAATGAATTCCCCTCCCTGCGAGAATTCATCAACCACTTTGCCAACCAGCCACTGCTAGGGAGTGAAACGGGTCAGTCTGAACCACTGGGGTTGAGTGAAACGGGTCAGTCTGACCCACTGGGGCTACACAGCCGGTGCCATTAGTTTTGTTAATGCAGGAACTGAATTATATACTTGTAGTCAAATATTTTGAATATAAACAATACAACAAAATTTTACAGCTGAGTTACTTTTAGAAATTCTTGCAATGGATTATAATATGCCTCAATTGGTTTTGAAAAGGAAGGAATGGTAGCTATAAGGAGAACTGTAAACTTATAAATGTTATAGATATAGAGATGTTTTATACACACAGTGGGTACGGAAAGTATTCAGACCCCCTTCAATTTTTCACTCTTTGTTATATTGCAGCCATTTGCTAAAATCATTTCAAATATTTTTTTTTCCTCATTAATGTACACACAGCACCCCATATTGACAGACAAAAAAAAGAATTTTTGAAATTGTTGCACATTTATTTAAAAAAGAAAACTGAAATATCACATGGTCCTAAGTATTCAGACCCTTTGCTCAGTATTTACTGTAGTAGAAGCACCCTTTTGAGCTAATACAGCCATGAGTCTTCTTGGGAAAGATGCAACAAGTTTTTCACACCTGGATTTGGGGATCCTCTGCCATTCCTCCTTGCAGATCCTCTCCAGTTCTGTCAGGTTGGATGGTAAACGTTGGTGGACAGCCATTTTTAGGTCTCTCCAGAGATGCTCAATTGGGTTTAAGTCTGGGCTTTGGCTGGGCCATTCAAGAACAGTCACAGAGTTGTTGTGAAGCCACTCCTTCGTTATTTTAGCTGTGTGCTTGGGGTCATTGTCTTGTTGGAAGGTAAACCTTCGGCCCAGTCTGAGGTCCTTTGCACTCTGGAGAAGGTTTTTGTCCAGGATATCCCTATACTTGGCCGCATTCATCTTTCCCTCGATTGCAACCACTCATCCTGTCCCTGCAGCTGAAAAATACCCCCACAGCATGATGCTGCCACCGCCATGTTTCACTGTGGGGACTGTATTGGACAAGTCATGAGCAGTGCCTGATTGTCTCCACACATACCGCTTAGAATTAAGGCCAAGAGGTTCTATCTTGGTCTCATCAGACCAGAGAATCTTATTTCTCACCATCTCAGAGTCCTTCAGGTGTCTTTTAGCAAACTCCATGCGGGCCGTCATGTGTCTTGCACTGAGGAGAGGCTTCCGACAGGCCACTCTGCCATAAAGCCCTGACTGGTGGAGAGCTGCAGTGATGGTTGACTTTCTGCAACTTTCTCCCATCTCTTGACTGCATCTTTGGAGCTCAACCAAAGTGATCTTTGGGTTCTTCTTTACCTCTCTCACCAAGGCTCTTCTCCCCCGGTAGCTCAGCTTGGTCGGACGGCCAGCTCTAGGAAGGGTTCTGGTCATCCCAAACGTCTTCCATTTAAGGATTATGGAGGCCACTGTGGTCTTGGGAACCTTAAGTACAGCAGAAATTTTTTTGTAACCTTGGCCAGATCTGTGCCTTGCCACAATTCTGTCTCTGAGCTCTTCAGGCAGTTCCTGTGACCTCATGATTCTCATTTGCTCTGACATGCATTGTGAAGTGTAAGGTCTTACTGTATATAGACGGGTGTGTGGCTTTCCTAATCAAGTCCAATCAGTATAATCAAACACAGCTGGACTCAAATGAATGAATGAAGGATGATCAGAAGAAATGGAAAGCACCTGAGTTAAATATATGAGTGTCACAGCAAAGGGTCTGAATACTTAGGACCATGTGATATTTCAGTTTTTCTTTTTTAATAAATCTGCAACAATTTCAAAAATTCTTTTTTTTGTCTGTCAATATGGGGTGCTGTGTGTACATTAATGAGGAAAAAAATATATTTTAAATGATTTTAGCAAATGGCTGCAATATAACAAAGAGTGAAAAATTGAAGGGGGTCTGAATACTTTCCGTACCCACTGTATATATGCACGTATTTTATATATGTATGTGTGTATATATTGTTTCTGCCTGGCAGGGACTCTGATTGTCCTCAAGTTCCCGTACCCCCACACGGTAGAGGAGCCGTCCATCTATGAGTCAGTGCGTGTGCACACGGCCATGAAGACGGGACGCACCGAGAGCGACCTGGTGCCCGACGCCCCGTCCGTAGGTCACCGCCAGATAACGCCTCCTCTATTTACCTCTCTTATGTAACACAGCTGCTCATTAGGCTCTTTTACTCTAAATACGTCAGCGAGAATGCAGTCGTAAGAGTGGAGGGGGACGTAGCTGACAGTTAAAAATTTCGTATCTGAATTGACCACACAGGCAGATCTTGTTGCCCCATCTCTAGACCCAGTGATTGTTTTGCATAATTCAAAATGGCCGCCTTTTGTGTTTCCTCCTGTCCAGCAGCTATTTAGACCCAAAACCCAAATAAAGATGCCGCCATGGGTGTCAGGGCTACAGTCCCAAGTATTTTAGCCCCGACGTCAGTCTTCCTTCAAAAAAAAAGTCAAGCCCCAGGTAGCCCCTGATCTTTTCAGTAGCTAGAAGCTCCCCTGGTTCCCACTCCACCCTGACATGGATCTGTCTCGCATAACTAACCCCCCTGTGCCTCTGAGCAGGGTTATGATAGACTGAAGCATAAAGTGTCTTGTTCAGGGTTACATCAGGGATTCTCCATAGAATTGCAACAGCAGGCTTACGTCTGTCACAACTCTGAGTGCTTTACCATTAGGCAACCCCTTTGCTGATGTCTTGTAACTTAAGCACATGACTGATTTGTCGACTTTTTGGTATGTATTTTTTACAGCTAGGCACAAAGGAAGGATATCTGGTGAAGCAAGGCGGTATAATTAAGGTGAGATTTTCCTGCCATAATAGTCTCGAGAATGAACTTCCTGTTTGCTGTAAACTATGTAGTCATCATTGTCATGATTGGTACCATATATTATTAAATCTTTGTCTAAAAGATGCACAAATTGAAGAGGACTTTCCTTTTCCAGCCATGACTGAAGTAAGGCTAGGGTTGCCATATTTGGTGAGATGAATAAGAGGACTCTGTCACTCACAAAATGTCACAGATATAGAATGTTTAAGTGACGTCAACTTCCGGAAACTTCCCTTAAGTTGATGTCACTCTAGAGCAGCGTGACATGTGGGGATGTGCATATTGTTTAATTTTTAAAGTAAATGTGTGCATGACCCTTACAAACGCTGTGTGATACTACTGAGTGACTGTTGTATATTGAAAATTGATGCCATTTCTTTCAGTTGGTACTGTACATTGTACATTGTAACTTGCAACACAGGGTCATAAGGGTTGCAGGGCTAAACCCAGACAAACTGCTGATTTTTGAAAAATTACCAAGACGCCTGGACAGGGGCCCAAAAAGAGGACCTATTCGGGGAAACTGGGATGTATAGTAACTCTAAGCAAGGCTGTCTTATGTAAGGGATTAGTTTTGTCTGCAAATTTAACTCTTTCTCTTCAACATTTTCCCTTTATTTTATTTTGGGAAGTAAACCCTGTATTAGTTTAAACTGTGGAAAAGCTGAGTTTCTCACTCTGTATTTCTCTCTGAGTGCTTACGTTAGTTTTTTTTTGCTGCTACAGTATGTGCTTTTGGTGAAGCTGTACCCCCTATTGAGAAATATATATTCATTATTAAATTGTTCTGTAACTTAATGACATTTACGCTCTTTATCCCAAATTTGACCAACAAAAAAGAGAGTACAGTAGATTTTCCCGTAGGAAACAAAAATTGATAATTATCGACTGATGCCTTCACAGATAAACATAATTACCATAAATATAGAAAAAAATGTCTATAGCATTACATTTACCATAGAAGGCATTTGTATTGAGCTTCATTTCTGAGAGTATATGCTCAGTGATCACATTATTAGGTACACCTACTTAGTATCAGGTGGGGTCCAATTTTGCCCCTGGAGCAAACTGTTTTCTTTAAGGCTTGGACTTGTTATATAGACACACAGTGTGGCCCCTGTCATGCTCCCCTGTTGTTTTTGGGTTTCCCTTTTAGTGTTGATCGGTCTGCCCATTTGCTTCATTAACACCGTATGATTGCTCACAGAAGTGCTGCTGATTGGATGTTTGATTTGTGAGGTTTCATTGCACTGTTCAATTGGTTACTTGAGCAGTAAGTGAACCACATGGCCGTGCTTTAAACTTTGGGCTGCAAATCCATGATTTGTCGCATGGAAAATCAGGCAGTTCACAAGTCACTGAGTGTGCAACCACTCTGTATGTCAGAGTGGTTACAAACATCTGTGTCTTATCCGAGAAAAGTACAAGTGTCATCCATTCTCTGTCACCCAGGACTTCTGTTACTTTAAATGTTCTAATTTAAGAGTTGGTGTCATATTTAAGACTCGTATATAGTAGATTAGTCTTATGTATTATTTGTTATTACACGGTGCATATAGTGTGCATTTTTCACATTTTTATATGGAACGTACGATGTCTTTATTTCATTATTGAATTTTTGTTAATTGTTGTGTTTCAGAACTGGAAAACCCGGTGGTTCACCTTAAATCGAAATGAGCTCAAATATTACAAAGACAAAATGGTGAGTCTGCATAGTTTTGTAAATGGACTGCATTTATATAGTGCTTTTCTACTCCTACGAGTACTCAAAGCGCTTTACAATACATGCCTCACATTCACCATCCACACACACATTCACACACCGGTGGCGACGGCTGCCATGCAAGGCGCCAACCTGCACACCGGGAGCAACTTGGGGTTCAGTGTCTTGCTCAAGGACACTTTGATGGGGTCAGGAAGAACCAGGGCTCGAACCTGCAACCTTCCAGTTGCCAAACGATACCACTACCTCCTGCGCCACCATCTTTTGCTTTTTTTTTTGTAAATTCCCAAATGGTTATGCATAATGGGCCGTCAACCCAGTGGCTGTCAGATCCACTCCTCTTTGGAAGACAATCCACTGTAAGTAGAGTACTTCTATGGCAGGGGTATTTGGTTAAGTTGCTTAGGATGCTGTGCCTTGATCAGAAGGCCACCGGTTCACGTCCCAAGGCAGTGTGGTGTCATATTTGAGCCCTTCACCAAGGCCTTTAATCACAGCTACACCAAAGACTGACCCTGCTCTCTCATAGAAGCATCTGCTAAATAGTTTAATAAATAAATCTCCATAGCAAAGATGAATGTGACCCTGTCTCTGCCACATCCAGTTTGATGAGCCAATCCGCACCCTGGACCTGACGGCATGTTCAGCAGTCCAGTTTGATTACTCTCAGGAAAGAGTCAACTGCTTTTGGTGAGTCTACCTCCTCTCCTTTTACACTATGAATATCCAACTGAGTCCTTTGCAGGCTGTATGTATCTGTCCTCTAATGTGTCCCCATGTTACTTATTTCGACATATTTCCATTTTTGATTTTTACTATCTATAGAACATTTCATGTTGTATGAACTTTATTTTTTTACTACATTTAGGACATACAATGCCCAATGTCATGTAAATTATTGGCATAAAGTACCACACTATTAAAGATGAACTTAAACCAGTGAAATACCTCAGAATGAAAACAGCAATCACTTCCTGGTTTTTCTTCCTACAGTACCAGTTTTTTTTATCTCTTTTGTTTGTGACTCTCTAAGTCAGTCAGTTTTGATTATTAGGTGGGAGAAAGGGACTCCATATGAGCGGAATTTTAACATGTGACTTTTGTTGTAGTCCACTTCAACCATGGAGTTAAAAAGAACCATAACAATAAAAATAAAAACAAAAGATGAATGTTTACTCTCCTGTGAAATAGACTAGGGGAAAAAGCCAGTAGCAAAGATTTCATTGATGATTACAAGAATACACTAATAGTAATGATATTTAGGAATATACTGGATTATATAATATTAAAAATATTTATTATCCGTGGCATGAATGTTAGCTGGACAGGTTTCTTCCCAGCTGTTTTCTTTACAGCAATGCTGAATGTTCCAGAATGTTAAAACGTGTCTCTCCAAATGTTTCACTTCCTGTCTTGCAAAAATAAAAAAAACAATAAATAGACCAAAGTGAAGTTGAACAAAGCTGCAGTGCTCTTCACTGCAGAAAAGAGGAACTGCAAATAGGGTGAGAGTCGAAAGAAAATGCTGACATCTGCACTCAGATCAAACCTGAATTCACTGGGCTTAGTTTGAAGATGTTCCCCTTCATGCTGAATGTCTGGAATGTTATCAGAGGAGCAGTCAATGATTACCTACAGCATATTTTTTTAAGTGGGTATGCAGATTTGTTATCAGCAGATAAACTGCCAGGCCAAACAAAAGTCACCATTTGAATTTAAATCAGAAAGTACTTAAGAGCCAATAATTGGATCATGCCTAGCAACATTATGCAGCAACAAAGTCAAGAGAGCTGAGTACCTGAATCTACTGAATGGCCAGGTTATCCCATCAATGGATTTTTTTCTTTCTTAATGTGTACTATGTGTGCTATCAGGGTAGTAGGCCCGTAGATCACCATTGTTGATTTGGTGGCTTATTACAGAGGCAGTTTTTTCCCTTGTAACTTCCACTCTGTCTTGCTAACTCAGCCTGGTGTTTCCTGAGAGAACATTCTACCTTTGTGCTAAGACTGGAGTGGAGGCGGATGAATGGATAAAGATACTGCGGTGGAAACTAGTGAGTAGCAGACAAACTGACCAATCTGGTGCTTGCTGCTCAAAGGGGCATGTCCAGTTACGCTCCCTGGAATAATAATAATAATAATAGTAATACATTTTATTTATAAAGCGCTTTTCAAGACACTCAAAGACGCTTCACAACACAATAGAATAAAATAGCACACAATTTATAACATAAAATCAAACATTAAAAGCA